AGATTACAGTTTACAATTTTGACTTAATCGGATTCTAGATACCTGCGTATGAATTTTCTCCCTAGATCTCTAACAAAATTTTAGATAATCAAGAATCTTTTTTGTCCCATCTATCCGCATGAGCGTCCAAGGTGCTGATTTGTTAATGGAATCAAAGTCTTACAAACTAACACTTAGCTGATTACGGTCTATTGCCTGAAAGTAACTATAACCTAATAGTGAATGCAAACTCATAACAGGTCAGCTCTATTAGGCTATGAACGCAACATTATCGTTTAGCCAAATGCCGAATTACTCGCTGCAATAAAAGATGTTGTTGCAAAATTCAAAGCTTCATTGGATGAGAGTGGTCTCGATCAAGATGTCAGACTTATGGGCAACCAGTTGAGGAATACTTGGCAGCAGCTCAGATCAGGTTTGTAGACAGGAAAGACCTAAGGTGATAGGAGGTGTTAGGGTTTTCCTCACTCTATCTGCATTCTCTATTCTTTCTATGATTTCCATAAGTGATTCGGAGCCAAAAATAGAGTGAGGAAACCTCTACGCTTCAGGGGTCGATCGTGGATTGCGAGCTGTGAAACAAAGTGCTGAGAATTCATTGGCGCAGGCAGCCACTTTCGGTATGTTTAAAGCAGTTTCTACGCAAATTATATGGTTTGCAATGCACGAAAAATATAATTCAGGCATTGCCCTGAATTAGGATTGCAGATTTACAACATGTACCATTGAAAGACGCATAGGGTAGTTATTACAGGGGTCTATCTAGATTTGACTTCTCACCAAATCGCACTACTCAATAAGTTATTCTCTCATCTCTATTTTCTCTTATGCAGGTCCAATGAACGAGCAACTAGGTCGATTACTCGAAAAAGCTGCTGACGATGCGAGTAGAAGAGCTAATGAGATGCAACGACCATGAACTTCTGCCGAATCTTGTTTTTCTGTGTTTTGCTCTTCTGTGTTTTCGCATAATGTTATGGTTTTGTGCTATTTCTTTACATATTTTTACATCTCTGCAAAGAGTCTCTGTACGTACGTTGTACGATCCATTTTATGTTGATGTGTTCTGGATTGCAATAAAATCACCATATCGCTACCAGGACGCAACGGCCTTTTGCTATCTGAGATTTTCCCGAGTTCATTTTATAGAATACTGCAACTATACACAAACTACATGTGCAAAAGGAGTGCTGGGAAAAGTTTTAACAACACAAATGTGGAAGAGGTTAAGAAACCAAGTAAAGTGAAAATGACTCTTTTGTTAAATAACATGTGATTAAACATTATAACCCTAAGACAAAGTATTTTGAAATATTTGTACTAGTAAAAGTTAATTAGAACTTTGTCAAACCACTTCTATTATCTAGATATCTGCAATTCTAAGTTAAACTACGAATCCCAGATATTTAGAAAATTTTGAGATAGCCTTTTTTTTGGAAATTTCGATCGATCTACGGTAAGCTTTTTGCATTGTAATTATAAATCACGCTGTCAAACCCAGATGCTGTAGAGTTATTGCACAAATTTGGATTTAATGATGAGCTAATTAG